TGATATTCCTAATCGATTTTCTTGAGACTATCATCTGGGAATAATCGTCTTACAATAGAAGCTATGCGGAGAAACAAACTACTTATACGTCTATAGGATAGTGGGAAGTATACAAGGTGAGGCGTGAAAAAATTAAAGTGGGAGAGAAGACGAAAGAAGGAAGAAGAAAAGATCTGAAAGTGTTCCAACGATGTGAGCTACTATAAAAGGTGAGTGAAATGAAGGCGTGGAAGCAGGTGAACATGATAGAATGAGGAACTGTGAGGTGTAGGTGCATGCGAAAGAATACGTGTGTGAATGCTAGGTGAAGAGTCTCAGTTTTGTGACATTTTCACAAAACTGAGACTCTTCACCTAGCATTCACACACGTATTCATGACAACCAGTGTGATTGACACAGCTCTGTGGCATCACTATGGCAACCAGTGTGATTGTCTGGTAATTCAGAATTTGGGTATTGATGTTTTCAAGATATCGTCTTCCGTGATTTTGTCTCAGCAGTTCAAACATTGTGCCTATCGCCTTTGTCGTTGCCATAATTTTCTTTATAGGACCAATTGAGCGTCGTCAGCCTGTCAGTACTGTTCGTGAAGTGGAAGAGCCCATTTTGGCAGCTGTATGTCAAGTACTCACTCGGAGAGATCAGAATGCCGCATGTGACTACAAATAGTGCAAATGATCAACGGCGATGGAGCTTTGTCCCGTCCACAATATTTCTGATTCAGCTACTCTTGTTCGTGTTATTTGTGCCCACGTCTCCGGCAACAAGTGAAATGGAACAATCTGGTAAGATGCCTCTGTATTATGAGTAGTTTCTTCAGAGCCTGTTTTGTACGTTGTGTTCATTCTCACGTAGTAACTGGGTTTAAGGTGCCAGTAGTAGAAGATTGACATTGTCTATATTTTCAATCAGGAGACTGAGTAACACTAGTACACTCGTATCTGTCTTATTTAGACCTCGGAGTCATGGACACCTCCGTTTACCAGTCACAGTGAGTGTCAGGTGTAGTAGAAAACTACGACTCATTGACTGGACCACCGGGATAAGAGAGATACATTTGTACTAGTGCTGAAACGATTATATCGATTACTCGTTACTTACTCGATAAGAAATATATCGAACGGTTATTTCGATTTTATCGGCTAAACGAGTAGAATGGTACTTACGCTCAGTGCGGGATTCCCCCCCCCCCCCCCCCCCCTGTTGGGGATCGCACAAAGCGTGCATGCATCGAAAGTGTTGCGAGTCCGACACGAATATGTACATGACTGTACACTTGCAACATCGATGTACGTGTAAAGTACAAGCGCGATCTGAGAAACATCGACGCGATCACCGTTGCCGTCTTTTGAGCTGACTACTTTTCTTACATACAGCATGCAGGACTGGCAGGCTTGGTATGTGTCTACACTAGCTGCAGGGGCTGGAGTTCCCTCCGCGTGCGAGTAGTCTTGAGCTAAAGACAGTAAAGTGGTCTTCAGTTTCATGTTTTCCGTTCTGTCAACGGTTCCCGAACCAGTTTGCTCGACGACGAGCTAGGCCTGGCGTCTGGGCCTATTTTGAGCATAGACAGGAAAACCAACTAGTTGCTTGTTGGTGCGCCTCAAGTCAGCTCATCCGTCAAAATCCGCCGATCTGCACCCCTGGCCGGCTTCTCTGACTTCATCGTCGGAGTCAGCGAAGTCACAGGCAAAATGCACCATCAGCTCTTGGGTTGCAACCAGTGAGTTGCCTCTGTCTTGTCTGTATTCGTCTGGTCAGTCCGAACAGCTGACGGACTTGTTGCGGGATCATCGGATCTGTGCGCCCGCTTTCCGTCGTTGGCGATGTTAGACTCGTTATTTTTTTGAAATTCACAGAATGTACATTTTACTGATGTAGTTACAGGGTACCTCACTTCAAACTCTCCAACTACGGTCTCTTCGCTGCATAGGTTCACTTCACTTCCAAAAATAAAAAATTAGATATACAGTCAAATCTGCCGTTAGCGACCTCTGCTGTAGGCGACCATCTACCGTTAGCGACCGATTTTCCGTGCACCGACGGTTTCACATACAAACTGATCTGTCCAGAGCGACCATCTGCTGTGCGCGACCAGCGACCGCGATTTCATGCACGGTGGCTGCATTCAAATCTGCTTTAAGCGACCGCGACCCAAGTTCAGTAAGGTGCGAAACTGTACCTGCCAGTGCGCTGTCAACTGCAAAGTGTGAAAATGCGCTGTCTTGCAAGTGCGATCGACTGGCGCCTGGCCTGTACTGAGGCTGTGCTGTAGCTCTCGACTCAAGTCCAGGCAGTAGTGTCGATCTACTGTCGCATACGCGTACTATAGTATACGGGTATGGTCGTCGTTGAATATCCGATAAAATGATATTAAAAATTACATTATTCTCGTCGATTTGAGTACATGGAAGCATATACCTGGTATGCCGGATTTACCATACATCTGCCGTAAGAGAACATCTGCCGTAAGCGACCGCTTTTTCTTGCACCAAGGGGCGGTCGCTTACGACAGATTTGACTGTAAATGGAATGCACCAAATTTTCGGGCATGGCCCATCTTCAGGGTGAAAACCATTCCAAAAGGGAACCGTTGAATGGTTTTTCACCCTGAAGATGGGCAATGCCCGAATTTGGTGCATTCCATTTATATCTAATTTTTTTAATTTTTGGAAGTGAAGTGAACCTATGCAGCGAAGAGACCGTAGTTGGAGAGTTTGAAGTGAGGTACCCTGTAATGTGTGAGTGGCTGCAATGGAGTCTGCGAGTGCTTAGAAAAGTTTATACTGATGTAGTTACTATAATCGTTTAGCCGATAAGCCGATCGTTATGGTATCAGCTAAGCCACTAAGGAAAAAACGTAATCGTTTCAGCACTAATTTGTACATCATTTTTTAAAATAAATTTCATTTCACTAGATGGTATTTTTTGTATTGTATTTTATTATTTTACTTGGGCATTCCCAACAGACCCTAAGGTCTTCTTACAGGGTGCCCAAGATGAATGAAATTGTTAAGTTCCTGGCGAAATGAATTGGGGATATGATTTGTGCGAAGGGATTCGGGAAGCGCATTAAAGCGGTCAGCACCAAGGAATGAAATAGATCTGTATCCAGCTTGAGCTTGCACAAAGGATAAGGAAAGGGAATAATTGGCTTGCCCGCGGGTTACTCTACCTGTGTGAGCGCAGTCACGGCGAAGGGAGAACATGTCAGAGAGGAGTGAACTGCAGATATTGTGGATGCAACGGAACACGAAGAATATGGACGTAATATGATATCTTTTGTCTAAGCTAATTATGTGGTATCGCTCAAGCAAGTATGATGTCCGCGTGAATGTGTCATGCTCAAATATGCATCTAAGTGCTCTCTTACTTATGCATAGCAGCTGATCTCTCACATTGTCAGCGAGGCAGTGGACGTAGGCAGTGTTGGCGTACTCGAGCTTGCTCTGGACTACTGACAAGTAGAACTGCCTTCTGGCCTGGACAGCAAGGTTCCTCCTTCCACGTCGAAAAGCACCTAGTTTCTTTCCGATGTCTTCCCTGAGAGAGTTAACGTGGGCACTGAAACTTAAAGTTGAATCGAGAGTCAGTCCTAGATACTTAACTTCGTCAGACGGGGCAATAACAGTCGAACCACAGACAATGCTCAGGTTAGGTGGAGGATGTGAGCGTCTGCTGTGGATCAGTAGTACTTGGCTCTTGCTGGAGGTCAGGAGCAGGCCGCGATCTGTGAGGTGCTGCTTCACCAATGAAAAATCGTCTTCTAAGTAAGACATGAAAATTCGTGGACGCTTTCCAGAGGCATACAGGGTGGTGTCGTCTGCATAAAGAAGGCATTGGGAACGCAATGGCAGAGTGGGGACAAGTCGAGTGTAGATGCTGAAGAGGGTAGGGCCTAGGACGGAACCTGGGGAACGCCCCTAGTGCAGGTTCTACAGTCACTTGTGGTTACGTTCACTTCTACGCGTTGCTGTCGTTGAGACAGATACGACTTGAACCACTCAAGAGCATTTCCACGGATCTTCAGATTGTGAAGATCATCTATTAGCGTTTGGTGGTGGACGCGGTCAAAGGCTTTGCTCATATCGAGCAGCAGTACGGCCGTATAGTCTCCGGTATCCATGCTTCTCTGCCAGTTATTGATGGCAAGTGTTAAAAGGTCCTCAGTACTGTGGTTCCGCCTGTATGCAAACTGTTCATTTGGAATTGCTCCAGGTGTGATGTCCAGATGGTCGTGAAGCAGCTGGAGCACTAGTTGTCGCGAACGTCGCGATAAAATACATGTACATGAATTCGGAATAACCAATTTATATTTGCACTACATGACGATGATTTTGTACTCTCTTGCTTGCTTACGCTGTGGACGATTCCACGCTTGGGTTAGCCGAAGTCTAGTTCCTCATCGTCCTTTCTAGTGATTGATTTCATTCTACTTCGAAGTAGCTTTGAAGCAATCCTTCGTTTCTCTATTCTTTGCATTTTGTTCACAAACAAATTCTTCGTTATGTTTTCGTCCCGTGAGTATTTTCGCGCTCTTGATTTGTTTTGCTCACGCGTGAAGTTCCTTTTCTTTCCCTTTGTTATGCATGACCATGATGACGTATTGGTATGACGTTTATGTGTACGTGACCACGTGACTGCGTGTTCACTAACTCCATGACTGTACAGAAAGTAGGCTAGTGCATTTTAGCGATTCGCTCTCCTTGCTGTTCACTTCTTCTCCATTTCTGTTTTGTCGCTGCACTAGTTCCTTTTGTTACCATGCCACGTAAATGAAGGTCGTGGTCGCCATTTTTATGCATGTTCTTTGTGCGCAGCTGCCTGTGGATGCAGCTGCCCTTTTCCGTTGAAATTGAATCTTGTTTGAGAAAGAAAGAAAGAAACAAACTTTCCAAATCAAGAAACGTAAATGTCTTTCATGTCCGTTGAGTCGGGATCTTTATGATGTCGCGAGTCACGACATGAAAATTTGGTGCCGAAACCCCGTTTAATCAACCATGGCCTCGACGGAAGGAGGAACGTCAGGGTCCGGACAAGCAGAGTCAGGCTCCAACAGTGATACGTCGAAAATGGATACGGTCACCCTACCGGTGCAACTGACTTCTGTAAGCAGCTCAATTCAATGCCTGGTGCGAGATCTGCAACAGGAGGAGCGCGATGCTGACCGGTTTATTGCCGGGCACGTGCCCCCGAATGACGTTGAAGACTTCTTGGTAAGCTTTGAAAGCATTGTCGAACGATTAGAAATCAAATTGAATCAATTTTCGAATGGTGTTGCTCAAATGCCCGTATCCACCAAGGGACAACGTGCCCAAGTTGAATCAATGAAGCTGGAAATTAATGGAATGACAGTCTTGGTAGAATCAGCGGTCTCAAAAATCAGAAAATTAAAACAAGTGGCAATCAGACACAATAAACAAATGGCGATGGTCCAAGCCCCATTGCCAGCGGAGGATCCGCATGGTATTCAAAACCTTGTCAATGTGCAAAACAAAACAACACAATCTCTATTGGATGCCATCCATACACTCACCAACAATGCACCTGGGCGTTCCGAATCACAGTCCACGCATCCCCATCATGTACGATTACCAAAACTGGAATTACCAAATTTCAGGGGTGACGTCCTCAAATTTTCCGAATTCTGGGATGTATTTCAATCCACGGTACACGACAACCCGGCTTTATCCCACGCGGAGAAACTGGCGTATCTCAAAACATGTTTGTCGGGCACGGCACGCAACGTCCTTGATGGGATCTTCCTCGACAACGACCACTACCCAATTGCTGTCGAATTACTCAAAGAACGGTTCGGCAGGCAGCAAATGGTGCTGAATGCCCATTATTCAGCCCTGGTCGATCTGCCACCGGCCTATGACACGGCCACATCACTGCGCCAGTTGTACGACACAGTTGAAAAACACATCCGGGCGCTCGGTGCTATTGGCGAAGACTGTGACCAAGGGATTTTTGTGTCTCTGATCACGTCAAAGCTGCCGAGTCCTGCCATGTTTCAACTGGAATTAGCTAAAGGTGAGGAGAAGTGGTCCGCCGACCGCCTCCGCAAACATTTACATGACTATATCATGGCAAAGGAAGCAGCAGCTCGACCAACATCAGTCGGTTCTGCACAGCCCAGCATGACTGCACCGCGATCCACGAATGCCAGCCCTGGCGACATGCGGCCAGTCCAGACGTTGGCAGTTTCGGTCAAGAAACCACAACGCGCAAAATGCTTCTTTTGCAAGGAAGCCCATTACACAGATGAATGTGCCCGGTACAGAACTTTAGAGACCAGACGCCAGCAAATCTAGGGTCGGTGCTTCATTTGTTTCCGGGACAGCCATATGGCTCCGGCTTGTCCAAACCCCTGGGCTTGTGCACATTGCCACAAGAAGACACACCACCGCAGTCTCTGCCCTTCCAACTCGGAACTGGCCACCAACAACAACAACAATCGAAACCACCAATCAAAGCCAACACAACATGTGTCACAGCTCCTAGCTCTCCCAGCCAACAACAGGATGCAGTCATCCTGCAAACAGCAGTAGCCACAATTGGCGGCGCCACAATTACCCAGCCCGCGCGGCTCATGTTTGACACTGGGTCGTCACGGTCTTTTATTACACAGGAAGCACAACAGGCACTTCAACTTGCTGCCAAGGGTTCAGACACCATCGCCATGGCTGGCTTTGGCGACAGTACCCGCAAGGTTGTCTGTCTGCCACGTGTGCAACTCTCTGTCGGGTGTGATGATGGCTCCACCGTTACGGTCATAGCCAACGTAGTTGACAACATCACATGTCCCATCCAACGCTTTCCACTCGATTACACCAAATATCCGGTTCTGCAGTCTGTAAATCTTGCTGAACCCACGCCCCTTGCAACAGAGAGCGTGGTTGTCGACGTACTAATTGGAGGTGATCATTACCATCACCTCATTGGCCCTCAGGTCATATCCGTTACCGCTGACCTAGTGCTGGTCGAGTCCAAGTTAGGGTTTATTCCGTCTGGCAAAGTGCCTGGTGATACGCCCCCAGACACCATCATGCATCTGTCGGCGGATTCCATAGCGGATGACACCTTACCTGCACTCGAAGATCTGTGGAGCCTTGAGAGTCTGGGCATTAATGACAACCCTGAAACAACAGACAACGACATGGTGAGAGAACACTTCAACGCCACAATACGCAAAGAAAACGGTCGCTACACAGTCAACTGGCCGTGGAAGGAAAAAGCTCCGCAAGTGAACTATGAGCTGGCCAGAGGTCGACTCGTCTCCCTAATCAAGCGGCTTTTTACACAGCCAGACATCCTACGGCACTACGACCAGACAATCAGAGACCAACATGCAAGTGGTATCATCGAGGAAGTCCCGAATGCCGTGCCCACTGGGCCGGTCCACTATTTGCCACACCAGTGCGTCCAGCGTCAGGCCAGCACAACAACCAAACTCCGCATCGTATACGATGCGTCAGCAAAAACCAACAAGGATGGAAACAGCCTCAATGACTGCCTTCACAGCGGCCCCAGCTTGCTTCCCGACCTCGGTGGCATACTGGTCCGTTTTCGCCTGTTCCCTGTTGGGATCACCAGCGATATTGAGAAGGCATTCCTCCAAGTGGGCCTCGACGAACCAGACCGGGACTACACCCGTTTTCTGTGGCTCAAGGACATTTCTCAACCAGTCTCACCAGCAAACCTGGTGACATATCGTTTCTGTCGAATTCCGTTTGGTGTTATTTCCAGCCCGTTCTTGCTGTCTGCCACCATTCATCACCATCTCGGCAACAGCAACAGCACGCTCGGTTCTGAAATCCGCGACTCCACCTATGTGGACAATGTGATAACTGGGCGCAACACGGCTGACGAAGCCAGTACTCTCTATGATTCTGCAAAGAGCCTATTCAACGCCGCCGCTATGAATCTCCAGGAATGGTCATCTAAAAGTGATGAATTTAACCACACCCTGCCAGACTTCGACAAGGCCACATCCAACAATGTGAAATGCCTCGGCCTGGCTTGGGATACGAAAGAGGACACTCTCAATGTCATTTCTCCTAATGTGGCTCACAAACACGCCAACACCAAGCGCAGCATCATCTCCGCTGCTGCTCGCTTTTACGATCCCGTTGGCTACCTGTCACCTTTGTTTGTTCGAGCCAAACTTCTGATCCAGGACATCTGGAAAGCAAAGCTCGACTGGGATGATCCGGTTCCCAACAGCATTGCAGATGATTGGCAGGCTATTGCCCAAGACCTGGACAAAGCCGACACGTTCAAGCTACACCGCTTCACTGGTCTTGACCCAGCATCTGTCACTCGCCGCGAACTTCATGTGTTCTGCGACGCATCCGAAAAATCGTACGGTACGGTTGCCTATCTCCGTGAGGAAAGCGCCACAGCTGTGGCCACAGTCCTGCTCGTCAGCAAGACGAAGGTAGCTCCACTCAAACAAATGACAATTCCTCGTTTGGAGTTAATGGCAGCGCCCATCGGTGCTCGGCTGATCAAATTCCTGCAGAACACACTGCCATTTGATCTCCACCGCACTGTTCTGTGGTCCGATTCAACTTGTGTTCTACACTGGATCAATGGCACGAACCAGCAATCTGTGTTTGTCCAGCGGCGACTAATGGAAATCCGGTCGAATCCGACAATTGCATTCAAGTACGTCAATACGGATTGCAATCCTGCTGACCTACCCTCACGTGGTGCAACAGCTGCTGCATTGCACGACAGCAAACTCTGGTGGGAAGGTCCTGAATGGCTACGCGGTGATACCAGCTCACTCGGTGAACTACCATCCCCTTCACTTGCCACAGCTGCAGCAATAGTCTCAGAACCACCCACTGAGGTATCTGTCGCAATCAACTCTTGCTCTGGGGAGAGTCCCTTCATCTCTATCGAAAGGTATTCCTCTTGGTCGAAAGCGGTACGCGTAATGGCTTACGTGAAACTGGCAATACAGAAGCTGCAAGGCAAATGCAAACAACAAACACAACTAACCACAACCAATATCAAGGAAGCTGAAATGGAATGTGTACGAGTTATCCAAGGTCAAGAATTTGGTGAAATTAAAAATGCAATTCAGAAAAAACAAAAAATGGAACTCGTTACCAAACTCGGTCTACTTATCGATACCAACGGCCTAATTCGGTGCGCAGGGCGCATGAAGAATGCTAGGTTTCCAGAATCTGGTCCAATACTGCTGCCACGGAAACATCCTGCCACGAGGCTAATCGTGCAACTGTGCCACGCTCGCGTTCGGCACTCCGGTACTAGCCAGACGCTCATGGAGGTGCGTAAGCGTTTCTGGATAACTCGTGGGCGGGCCACCGTGCAGACAATATTGCACAGCTGCTACCACTGCAAGAAATGGGAAGCGAAACCATACCCAATGCCGGATTTTGCTCCACTGCCGAGCAAGCGTGTTAACAGGTGCATACCATTCAAACACTGGTATCGATTACTTCGGCCCAATGACAATGACCAAGGAAAGCGACAAATGCAAGGTATGGGTTTGCCTGTTCACATGTTTGACTACTCGCGCAATCCACCTCGAGCTAATGGAAGACATGACAACAGCCTCATTTCTACTGGGCTTTCGTAGATTTATTGCCCGTAGAGGTACGCCGATTGAAGTTTTGTCAGATAATGCAAAACAATTTCACACTGCCTCGAACGTCATTGGTGAAGTTTGGAATGACGTGAACCACACCGATGACTTTACTTCGTACTGTGCTACAAATGGAATACAATGGAAATTGATAGTACAGCTGTCTCCATGGATGGGCGGCACATACGAGCGCTTAGTACAATCAGTGAAAAGGGTCCTACGAAAGACAGTGGGCACTTCAATTCCAAACCGTGATATGCTCAATTTGTTTCTAATGGAGGCGGAGGCGATAATTAATGCACGTCCACTGGTCTACGTTGGAAACGAATTGGATTTTGGTAATGTTCTTACTCCCAGCCATTTCTTGTCTCTAAACCCGAAGTTGGGCACTCCTGGTATGGAGGGAGACTTTGGTAATGACCCAACGTTTGAGCCTGACACGTCTTTGGCTAACACATTGCTAACTGCCTGGACGGATGGTCAACGCCTACTACAGACCTTTTGGTCAGAATGGCAGTATTCGTATCTACCCACGCTACGTGAACGTGGTCAGACTGCACTTCCGCATGGAAGACTGCAAGCACATGATCCACCTGCTGTGGGTACTGTTGTCCTAGTCAAGGAAGAAAATATGCCACGCGGCTCTTGGTTAATTGGACGAATTGACAAACTGCACAACAGTAATGATGGTGAAATCAGATCTGCAACAGTTGTTCTGCCATCCAAGCGGCAGATCCAACGTCCACTATGTCTGTTGTACCCAATTGTGCAAGCGGAGAATCACGATGCAGCGCACGATGACCCGCCGCTCGCACAACCTGCACAACCTGTACAGCCTGCACAACCTACACAGCAACAACCAGCTCGACCAACACGCCGTGCAGCCGCTGGTTCCCGTGCTAACCTGAAGAACCTAATAAGTCTAGGTGCAGTATAACTCTGTGAACTCTGTAAATAGTCTGCATGAATGTATTTATACACAGTACACTCTCTTGTTGAACACTAAGCAATCACCACACACTCATTTTCACTTTGTCTCCACTACTGCAATTGCAATCGCTCTTCTTCTCTGTTGTGGGGAGTGTCGCGAACGTCGCGATGAAATACATGTACATGAATTCGGAATAACCAATTTATATTTGCACTACATGACGATGATTTTGTACTCTCTTGCTTGCTTACGTTGTGGACGATTCCACGCTTGGGTTAGCCGAAGTCTAGTTCCTCATCGTCCTTTCTAGTGATTGATTTCATTCTACTTCGAAGTAGCTTCGAAGCAATCCTTCGTTTCTCTATTCTTTGCATTTTGTTCACAAACAAATTCTTCGTTATGTTTTCGTCCCGTGAGTATTTTCGCGCTCTTGATTTGTTTTGCTCACGCGTGACTTTCCTTTCCTTTCCCTTTGTTATGCATGACCATGATGACGTATTGGTATGACGTTTATGTGTACGTGACCACGTGACTGCGTGTTCAATAACTCCATGACTGTACAGACAGTAGGCTAGTGCATTTTAGCGATTCGCTCTCCTTGCTGTTCACTTCTTCTCCATTTCTGTTTTGTCGCTGCACTAGTTTCTTTTGTTACCATGCCACGTAAATGAAGGTCGTGGTCGCCATTTTTATGCATGTTCTTTGTGCGCAGCTGCCTGTGGATGCAGCTGCCCTTTTCCGTTGAAATTGAATCTTGTTTGAGAAAGAAAGAAAGAAACAAACTTTCCAAATCAAGAAACGTAAATGTCTTTCATGTCCGTTGAGTCGGGATCTTTATGATGTCGCGAGTCACGACACTAGTGATTCCAAGACTTTGGAGATAATGGGCAGTAGCGAGACTGGGCGATAGTTGGAACTGTTGTAGGGGTCGCCTTTCTTAAACACTGGACACACCGATGCTAGTTTGTAGGCTGACGGTACCTTTCCGCTAGACAATGACTGGATGAAGATGGAAGTTAAGGGTACGTGAACAGGGGGGGGGGGTATGTGGAAATGGGGAGGGGGTAGTGGACATGGAGGGAGGGAGGGGGGGGGGGGTGGAGAGGGGTGAGTGGACATTGATAATGAAATTGATTGAACGGAAAGGACGTGATTAAACCTTTCCATTCTGGAACCTTTTACTCCAGCAAACTGCCTTTCCAGCGCACTGACTCTACTGGTGTCGTTTTCGCACATAGGTGCGAGCGAATTTTTCTCTCGATTCAGTTTACCGTGCTGGATTTTCATCATCGTGGGCTTGTTGGAAAGATCAGAAGCAAGCCAATCCATCATGGTACGTGTAGCTCTCAATTCAATATGCACAGTGGTGCAACTTCTACGTCCTCTTGAAGCTACCTCATGATGCCTCGGAAAGACACAGGAACCCGATCTAACATTCTTTTTCAGTTTCTTGCTCCAGGTCAGCCGATTTTCACGATTGAAACTGCACTGCAAAGCTGAGATCCACGTGCTTCCGCTGGTGTCCATTACACATGCGCTGTGCCAAAGGGAAATCCCTGGTACGTAACAGAAAACTGCAAACCAAGTGATAAAAAAATCACGATTGATGAGTGCCGTGAATTTCGTGTTAACTCTGTCGCTGCACGGTCAATCTTTCTCCTATCGCAAAGAACTTTATATCGTTGGAAAGCTGAGCTCAGTACTTTCCAAAGGTATAATGATCGTCGTGACAGACTTATTTTTGATGGAGTTACGAAAGTTTGTACACTGATCTATACACCGGGATGTACTGCGCAAATCTCATGACGTCTATAGACATCATTAGTTGTATGGCGTACAGCGCGCATGATGTCTATAGACGGTCGTTACCGAGGAAAGGGTTAAGTTATTGAGCAGATACTAACCAGGTTCCACTTTGCTCAACATTATCTGGGTGATGGAGAGCGGTGCTTCACCAGAAAAGCTCTGTTTCTTTTTTTCTTTTTTTTACTATGTTCACATACCCAACTCATAAATAATACAGAAGACAATGGGACTGAGAAGGGGCTGCACCGAGGTGCAGCAGTGATGGTGGGGCATTGATGGCTCTGCCGACCTGAGATCTTGGCATCACGGCCAGAAACACGCACCAAAAACAAAAGATAGCGCTGTAAGGGTCAGCAAAAATAAAAAGAAAGTAAGGGCATGCAACAGCTATTCGATCTCTTCCTCTATTTCCCGCGAATATTTCACGTGGATGTCTAACCAGTTGTGCAACAACCATGCAAAATGTTTTGTTGTACACGTTGCTCACGGACACCATGGAGCTAAAGTACACGTGAAGTGCACACAATAAAGAACAGAATTTTCAGTCCGTGGTTGGTTTCACCATCACTTCCTTGTATTGGCTATTTTCATGAAGTGCAGACAGTAAATAAAAAAATAACTTGTTGTTGACTTTTATTTTACTTCAACAATTGCACAGGCATGATTGCCTTCTTACCGGCCTATAGGTCCGGTTCTCACAGAAAGATGAAGGAAATTATATGAGGAAATGTAGAGAGATAAAGACATGCAAGCGGTATAGTTGTTATTATAGATATGTTTGTTATGACATTGTGTGTATGCTGACACTCAATTTGTGTGAATTTTTAAATTGCGATAACAATTAATATGTAGTGGAAGCATTTCATGAAAATATATGTGTGAACATTGGCAGACTTTGTTGGATGGGCACAAATTTTTGCAGTACAGGGACCATAAATTACAGCGAGAGGTGTTTAACTGTTGGCATAGAGCTTACAAGTTAAGAAGGTCAATATCAGATCGGGCTCTCTTGAATTGATCATCAGCAGTTATCGATCTTACATCAGCCGAGAGGGCGTTCCATGCAATACTGCCGTGAAACATCATACTCGAGCGACCAGCAGGCCCGCGAAGGAAAGGGACTTGGAGATAGTTGGAGACTTGGCCCCTAGTGATGAGCTGATCGTTTAGCACAGTGTTTGGAGCAGTCGTTGTGAAGAGTTGCTGTAGGAGTGGGCTACAATATCCATTGATACAGCGGTGTACAAAAATTAGAACTTTCTGAGTGTATGTGTGTGCCAGGCTGACTATACTAAGAAGTGCCAGAAGCGGTGCGGTGGGGGTGAGAAAGCGCTGTTGCAAGGTTGCACGAATGCCGGCTTTGAAACTCTTCTCCAGACGTCCAAGCAACTGGGCAGAAAGCCCAGGAACAAAGCTATTCGAACCATAGCATAGCTGAGAGAGGACCATGCTAAGGAACCAAGTGTGTCTTTCGAGCAAACTGAGTCCTTGACCATGCCTCCAGAGCTGGCCAATGGTCCTAGCAGTCTTGCGGCTCAGGTGTGCAATATGGGGCTTCCAGGATAGCTCCTCCTCGAGTATTACCCCGAGATACTTAGCCGAAGGTGGGACAGCAAGTTTGTCAGCATTGCAGAACGCCTCAGGCTGTGTGTCATCTGCGTCACGATGAAGAGAAGCTGAGTTTTTGCTGCATTCAGCAGCAAACCAATATCTTCTAGCCACATGGCGAGGCTTGTGATGGGTAACTTTTATAGTACTATTACTTCCTCCGTACACTAAAACTTCGTGACTTTTTTGGAAGGCATCACACGGCTCTGGAATTGTTCTGTTTGACTTGAAATCACACGTGTTATTGTCTAACTTGTTTACAAGCTTTATACACAGAAGAAAAGAAACTCAGACGAAGGAGATTGAGATTATTATTCTGTATGCTTCGTGTGCCTATCTCGTCCCTTGACATCCAGGGTGGTTGTTTCACGACGAGCTATCTCGTCCGTGGCACTGAAAGGGTTAAAAGAAAGTGAGGTGGAACTTCTCCATGTGCGGTAGAAGCGACACCATTTATTTTGCGGCACTATTCCGGGGATGGCATTTCCCCTACATCGGAAGTACATTGCAGCAAAGAGGGCACTTGATTTGTCTAATGGGCATGGCAAAGTATTAAAGAAAAAAATGAATTATCATATACACCAATACATCAGGGATGGGAACAAAAATTAATGACAGTACACAGCTGAGTTCTTCTTGGCAATACACCCAAAAGCGGATCAAACAGATGTTGAGGAAACGGAAGATGAACGTTGTTGTGAACCCTCTGCTTCTCTAAAGTGTCAGGAACGAACGACCCCACACGGCACGAGGACAACTATTTATTCTCAACAGTATATTTCACTTCCATCGATGAACTAAACAATGAACAATGAATGAATGAATGAATGTATGAATAACACTAAAACCACCAGGTAGGTATAGCGTGAAAATGACAGCGCATATGAGAAAAGCATACACATACAACATACAACTACAGCGCACACAGCAAACCGCACGTAGCGCATGTAGCGTATACTACGTCGAAATCATCAGCAGTACGGCGAAGTCGGGATACAGCTGCATTGAAACGAACACAATGTCACAAGCGAGAAGGCCTTTCACTCTCGAGAACTTGTGGTTTCACAACATTCCCCCTATCAGAGGGCCGTACAACAACTCACAAGTCAAACGATTTGGGGCTTACTACGCGTTATCTGCTGCTGCGGTGGTGGCCATGGTAGAATATCACTAATGCCCACCACTTTGGCCAACTCGATTTCGCGAAGCTTGCCGCTGTGGGCTGTTGCACACGACACTGTCACCGATCCACTTCGACATCGGGCAGACGCTGGCCCAGACAACACACAACCGATAATGTCATAAAGCTCGGCGATCTGGGCTGTCACACACGACTCGGTCACTGCCCCGTGGGGCGGACGCTGGATCAGATAACATAATTATTATCTGATCTCACAGTCTCGCTGCTCACTTCTTCCATACTAACCAGTATCGCCCTTCTCATGTCCTTAGCTTCTACTCCTTGCGCTTCTACGTCTTGCGCCTCTAGGTCTTGCGCCTCTACGTCTTGTGCCTCTGCGTCTTGCGCCTCTCCATCTTGCGCCTCTAAATCTTGCGCCTCTACGTCTTGCGCCTCTAACTCTTGCGCCTCT